GAGTCCTTCGGGGTCCTATTGGGGCCCTCGTTGGCGGTCTCGGGTACCTCTTGGCGCGCGTCGGGTGCATTGTGGGAGCCCCTCGGAGCCGTCTTGGGGGCCTCTTGGGAGCCTCTGGGCACCTGGGGGCATCTTCGGGTCTTCTCGGCGCATCTTGGAGCCCTCCTGGGGCCCTCTTGCGAGCCCTGGGGCCATCCTGGAGAAGATCGATCACAGTAGCGGGGAGTCCGATGGCGCCTCCCCCCAGGAGCCCGAAATGGGCCCAAAACCTTGCTGTGAAAGCTGTGATTTTGCCTTCTCTTCGAGGGCTTCTTGGACGCTCCACTGACCTGCGACCCCCCACCAAGAGACGCAGTGGGAGGGGGTTCAGGGTAGGGGGTCAAGACACCCTCCTAGATAGCAAGCCGTCTGGCTCACTCCCGCCCGCCCTCCCAACAAATAGGTAACACCCGAGCCTCAGCATGTTCAGCGCTGGTCTTTGGATGGGCAGCTACTGGGAACCAACACCGACCCCATGTGCGCGACGCTGGGGCCCGAGCGTGCCGGGCACGTCTGATGCACCAGATGCGCCACGTGCTCCATGTGCGCCAGGTGTGCTGCATACTCTAGCCGCGTCAGGTGCGCCACGTTCGGGGCACGTGCAGAGTGTGTCAGGTGCGCCTGCGCACGTGACAGTACACATCGGGAAGAATGTCGGCCCCCACCATCCTTGTCGAAAACCAATGCCCATCATTATGTCTGGTGGGCCTGCGCACAGCAGGCCATACGCCACCACCCCCGCCGTCCCTGTCAAAAACCACTTCACAATGATCGCGGGGTGGCTGCGCATGATCCAGATTTATCCGCGAGGTGCCTTTAAACAAATTGTTGATAGGGGTGGTGGCCCTTCGCACAGCAGACAATCTGCTGACACCCACGCCGTCGTAGTCAAAGACACACAAAGTGCTCGCGGGCATCACAAACACGATTCAAGACTTTGCTGCAAGGTGTACTTCGTATTGGTTTTTGACAGGGATCGTGGGGGGGGAGGCGCATCGGGTTGGTTGCGCATGCTGCGAATGCGGAGGCAGAGTGCGTTTACTGGAGTTGTTTGACATGGATGGTGGGGGGGGGGTGAGCATGGTGTCCTCATTGTTCCTGGTTGGCTGCCGGTCGCCTGGGAGATGGGGTGTACATTTATAGGGGACAGTGATCTCTTCCTCGAAGGAGAGGAACGGGGTTGGAAGAGGAAACTCAGCAAACCACTCACGCCCGGAAGGGCTGGTGGGATTTCATTCGACAATCTGTCATGTCTTGCCAACTCATAGATACTCCCAGTCGGCCATGTCAACACCGCCCCTGCCCTGGCCTATCGGCACTCCCAGCCCCAAACCACAAGCAAGGTAATGCAGAGTAGGGTACACTTAGAAGTAGCAAACAGATGGCACCCACCTAGAAGCACACCGTCGCGCAACCCATCTCCCTGGTCGGTCACGACCGTCTTGTCGTTTGCCGTCTCCAGAACTATCGGCCCGGGTTGGGGCACACCCTGGGTTGAATGGCCGAAATCTCGCTCACGTTTTGCTATGAAGTCCGCAAGCATGCTAAACTTGTCCGGCCTTGTGGCATTAGCACCGAGAGTGAGTGCAGGGACAGGGAGGCTAGCAATTTGTCCATATAGCTGTTGCACGAGCTCCTTGGTTGGTCTGTAGTCTGCTATCTGTGGGCCCATGAGCCGTCCATCCCCCCCCACGAGGTACTTGAACCTATGCACCTCTTGACCCAGGCCTGTGCTGAGGATCGGCTGCGGTGCTTCTCCCGAAAAACTGCCTGATGCCTGACCGCGCACGTCCCAAACGGCGGGCTGTTCAGGCGCGGGCGCGCAGACCTCGACGTGCGTCGGTGTCCCCGCTCCGCACTTGGTGGGGCCGGGTGCCGAGCAGCCGCCAGGGGGGGCGCCGCCGAAGCTGTTTTTGAGCCGCTGCCCGAGCCCACGTTCGGTTTTCCAGAAAGGGCCTCGCCTTCGAGGATCGAAGGGGTTGTCCTTCTCTCCTCCTCGGCGGAAGGCGGCGGAAGGTTGGCGGGAGGCGGCGGAAGTAAAACGAGACCGCCTCCGCCGGCGAAAAAAACCGGCGGCAGGTTTGCGGAAACCAGCAGAAGTAAAGCAAAAGGTGCCCCCCCAAGAGATGGCAGCATTTTTGAGCTCGGGGTTAACCCAGAATCCGCCACGTGTTGGCAGAAGCCCGGCGGCGTCGGGTGCCCAGCAGCAGCAGCAGCGTCGAGGCTGCCCGAGCCGTGTCCTTGGCTGAAGGCCCTAAGGCGCCGAGTGCCCGGCCGCAGCTCGGGGGGGCCGCCGCCCGAGAGCGGCCAGAGCTGCGGCAAGGGGCGTGCGTGCTCTTGAAGCCCGTTTCGCGGGATTGGGCGGCGCCTTCTCTTTAGTTCCCCTCTCCGCGGGCACTGCTTTGCCCACTGGCCGGGGTGGAGAGCACAGCGCGCAGGTGTCGCGGGGCTCGGCTTGTGTGTTTGGTGGTGTCCAGGGAGGGTCCAAGCTGGCTGGCCGGGTCGTTCCGCCGAGAGTGCAGCAGGCTGTCAGGGCACGGGACCCAGCCGCTGTCCACGTGGTTGTCTTTCTCCTCGTGCCTGCCCCTGCCTGCCCCTGGGCTTGCTCGTGCGAGGCTGGATGGCGCTGGCGTCGGCACGGGGAGGCCTCGCGCACGCTCGGCTCGCAGCCTGCCTTCCTGCCGACCATCGCGAAGCTGGCGTCTGGGCTATCAGGATCGTTGAGCTGGACAAGCTCTAGGGCTGTGCAGGGGCCTCTGCACTGTGGTCAGCCTGGGCGGCTGGGAGTCGACGGCCTCTAACTTTCCGTGCCCAGGGCGCCATGCGCGCAGTGCATGCTGCAGGGTGGTCTTGTCAGTGACGGGCTCGTTGTCGCTGAAGCGCTTGTGCAATGCAGCCGTTTGTGCGGCACCTGAGCTCATGAAAGCTTGGCTGAGCGCCGCCACCATGGCCACGCCCTCCGTCCGATCCACAGTTGTTGATAGGTACAGATTCGTATCCCCATTTGCCTGGGGGCAAGTCAAGACCAGTTGGCTTTCGCAGAGCGTGTTTCGTTGTGAATGCGGCTCAAAGCCAGACGAGGGTGCTCGAAGGCGTCACGAACAGCCTCGGCGAAGCCATCTGCCTGGAGGCCGCATCAGCCGGCGAGTTTTGCCTGCAGCTCAGACCAGTACGTCTGGATGGACTGCAAGGGGCGTAGGCCATTGCGCCCCCACGGTGCAATAGTTATTGCACCGTGCGAGCGCAGGCAAACTGTTTGCTGCCTCCGCTGTTGCCGGAGCTCTCTTCCGCTAGGGACTTGTCCTCGCGGCACATCAGAAACACGTTGACGTCTGATCTGCTCGTCGTCGGTTGCGTTGTGTGGTGCCCGTGCCGGTGTTCGTGCTTTGCAGGTCCGATCACGATCCTATCAAAGCAAGTCATCGACGGCGCGCCTGGGGGGGAAGTGAGAGGCGGCGGGCCCTCCCAGAAGGTTCGGAAGGCCTGCGGCCTTCTGAGAAGTGTTCTAAGCCTTCTCCGAAGACGCAGGGAACTTCTCAGAAGGCTGGAGGGTTTTTGAGAAACCCCGCCGCCTTTGAGAAGGCCTCCTTCTTCTTACATCCCCCCGAGACACGCCGCCGATAAGAGGCATGCGAGGGGCTCATAACCTGAGGATGGGGAGAGGACCTTTCGATGTGTGTCTTGAGGCACCAGTGCGGCAGCTGTCGTCCCGCAGGGAGGCGGGCGACGGGAAGATAAGAGCAAGTACGAGGATGGGGTAAACGATCATCAGGCGGATAGGGGGGGATGAGGGCCACGAAGTTGAGGAGGAAGATGATAAGGATGAGGGAACGATGATCAGAAGGATGGGGTGGACGAGGACGAGGAGGATGCGGACCAGGAGGAGGAAGAGGAAGGTGAGGAGGAGGAGGGCGAGGATCAGGAGGATGATGACGAGGAGAGATCATGATGACAAGGAGTGGCAGGTATGCAGGTCACCAGGAGTATGCAGAGGAATGGGATTGTGATGGTGATCATGATGATAGGGATGATGGGCGTTGGGGGAGGGCGGGCTGGGAGGCTGGGTCTGAGCGTTTACATCATATACCATTGGAGCGTGCGTGCCCATACTCAGGCAGCAGTGGGAGGCCACCGATGGGGTTGCCACAGCTTGCGAGTATACGAACTTGTGAGAAATGATTCTTGTGGGCGGGGGGAAAACAAATAGTGGAGCAACGTTGCAGGACTGCATCCGTGAGCCGGAGAAAAAAATCACATATTCCCCAGCAGTTGTTGTGCGCAGAATCACGGAATTCCAGTCTGCCTTGTAAGGTTTTCTTTTTCCAGCGCTGAGGAATCACAAGGGAAACCATTCACAACAAAAGGGTCGTCCCACAGTTGTTTGGTCCCCCCCAGGAGGAGGAGAAGGAGGAGGAGTAGGAGGAGGAGGAGGAGGAGGAGGAGGAGGAGGAGGAGGAGGATTGAAATCCATTGTTTGGTCCCTCAGTCAGGCTTTGCCCAGGGGGCCACTGTGCGCCTCTGCAGAGCCTGCGGGTGCGAGGCCGGCGCCGGCGCCAGTGTTCCTCGGGGTGCTCGGCCTTGTTCCGGCTCCCTTACTGTGTGCTTCTCGGGTCTCGTGGCCTTGTTTCGTCATCGTTTTTGCGAGGTGGCATTCCTCGGGCTTCTTGGTCTCGTGGCCCTGCTGTTTTTGAAAAAAGGGCTTTCCTGGGCTTGATTGGTGTTATTTCCTCACTGCGTTCGAAGAGGCCCTCCTTGAGTTGCTTCAAACGCCTGCAGCGCCAAGCAAAACAACTCAGCCCCCAGTAACCCCGAGCAACACCCAGTAATGCCAAGCAGCGCCAAGCAGCGCCAAGCAATCCGTGGCATTTTGCCCCCAAGGGCGCAGAAGGCGCCTGGCCCATGGGGGCGGGCCAGCCTGGGCAGGTGGCCCCCGCGGTCGCTCTCCGCCGAGGCTGCACGGCATGACGCTCGGCAGCCGGGGCAGTGACTCCGCCGCTCAGGCCGGCGACGCGAGGCCAGAGCGCGGGCCAGAGGAGCCACCGCCGGTTCAGCCGCCGCAGCCGCTGCAGGATCGGGCCCTGGCCGGCGTCGGTGGATGCCTATAGTTGCAAATTTTCATGTCTCCCTCTCTCTATGTGTAGATATGTATGTGTGTAGATATGTCAGAGTGAGGGGGCTGAACCGAACGGTCATTCACTGTCCCTGGGTGCGTGGCTGAAGTGGAATTCCGCGATGCGGATTCTTGTTGTTGTTGTTGTTGTTGTTGTTGTTGTTGTTGTTGTTGTTGTTGTTGTCGTCGTCCCACCCGCGACCCGCCCCGCGACCCACCCGCGACCCACCCCGCGACCCACCCGCGACCCACCCGCGACCCGCCCCGCGACCCACCCGCGACCCATCCCGCGACCCACCCGCGACCCACCCGCGACCCACCCGCGACCCACCCGCGACCCGCCCCCACGACCACCCCGAGACCCCCCCGGCGACCCCCCGCGACCCACCCGACCCACCGCGACCCACCCGCGACCCACCCCGACCCACCCGCGACCCACCCGCGACCCACCACCGCGACCCACCCTCGACCCACCCAAAATTTTCGGCGCCTGCGGCGGGTTTCTTTTGCATTCGTCCCAGGTGCAGAACCTGCGACCCACCCGCGACCCAAACCGCGCCGGCGACCCACCCGCGACCCACTGCGACCCACCCGCGACCCACCCGCGACCCACCCCGCGACCCACCCAGAATTTTCGGCGCCTATGGCGGGCTTCTTTTGCATGTGTCCCAGGTGGGGAACCTGCGACCCACCCGCGACCCAAACCGCGTTCAGTGTACAAATCAAAATGTTCGGCGCCTGCGGCGGGCTGTTTTTGAATTCCTTCCAGGTGGAGGTGGAGAGCTCGCGACCCACCCGCGACCCAAACTACGTTCAGTGAACAAGCCAAAACTTCGGCGCCTGCGGCGGGTTTCTTTTGCATTCGTCCCAGGTGGAGAACCTGCGACCCAAACCGCGTTCAGTGTACAAATCAAAATGTTCGGCGCCTGCGGCGGGCTGTTTGTGAATTCCTTCCAGGTGGAGGTGGAGAGCCCGCGACCCACCCGCGATCAAAACTACGTTCACTGAACAAGCCAACAATTCGGCGCCTGCGGCGGGCTGTTTTTGCATGCGTTCCGGGTGGCCCACCATCAATTCCCCCCGCGCTGAACTTGTCAGAGCACGCAAATCGGCGCCTGCGGCGGGCTTGCTCGCATTGTTTGGGAGGAGGAGGAGGAGGAGGAGAAGGAGGAGGAGGAGGAAGAGGAGGAGGAGAGGCGGACGACGACGACGACGATGAGGACGAGGACGCGGACGAGGAGGAGGAGGAGGAGGAGCAGGAGGAGAAGGAGGAGGAGGAGGAGGAGGAGGAGGGCGCCATCGACAGCGAAGGTGGGGGCCACGAGGTTCGCCGGCTCGAGGCCCGCGTCGCCCGCGCCCGCCCCCTCACTCTTATCCGCAATTGCGGGGTGCTACTTATATGTGTATATATATACATATATATAAATATATGTATGTATATATATATATATATATGTATATATATAATCAAGCACGAGCGATATATATATATATATATATAGATATATATATAAACACATCTATGACATTCCCCAGCTGTGCTTGCCCGTAGGGGTTCTTACTCTTGGAATGAGGAACTGTGTGTGTGTTGGTGTGGTGGCAATGTTGTCGCCGTCGCCGCCCCGTGGCCGCCTCGTCGCCGTCCGTCGTCTGGGCCTGGTTGTCGGTCGCCGCGCCTGTGTTCGCCGTCGCCGCCCGTCGCCGCCGTCCGTCGCCGCTGCTTCTGGGCCTCGTTGTTGGCCGCCGCGCTTGTCGCCGTCGCCGCCCCGTCGCCGCCCGCTTGCATTGGATGGCGTTTCTTTTGTTTGGTTCCGATGGTTTTGCATTGTTTCGCGCTCCTTTGGCATTGCTTTGAGTTGCTCGCGTCGCGTGTTATTGCTTTGCATTGCTTTGATTTGTTATGCACTGTTTGGCCTTGCCTTACATAAGTAGCCCAACATGTATTGAACCACGTAGGTTCCACCACATGTATTGCACATCGCACGTTGCACAACATGGTCTGCACAACGTATAAGGCACAACGTGGACTGCACCACATTGCGTGCTCCACATAGATTGCACCACGTAGATCGCAAGGCATGTTTTGCACAACATATTTTGCACACCGCGTATTGCATACCACAATATTTATTGCTCCACGTATATTGCAAAACGTAGGTTTCACAACTATCGATTGCACAGCATGGGTTGCAACACATATGTTGTTCCACACATATGGCACCCTATAGGCTACTAGAAACACATTGTGTGGGGTCCACGCTGGCTAGCATATATAGAGAGAGAGAGAGAGAGAGAGAGAGAGAGAGAGAGAAAAAAGAGAGAGAGAGAGAGAGATCTGTGTGTGTGCGTGTCAGGTGCGCCTGTCGTGCAAGCCATCGCTGAGATCTCCGCCCTCTTTTTCTCCCTCTATACTTCGTTTAGCCAGCGTGGACCCCAAACAATAGGTTCTTGCAATCTATGCGATGCAATCTATGTGGTGCAATTAATCTTTGACCGTCTTGGAGCTGTCCTCTCCGCTGCTCGTGCAAACATCCCACCCTCCCACCCGCAACTTGGTCGCAAGACCTCTTAAGACAAGACCGTGACGGTACGTACCACATGACACTTGGCCACGACACCGACGCTGACGACGACAGCGACAACGACGACGACGGCGCCGCCGACACCGACTACGACGACACCGACGACGTCTCCAACGATTTCGACGACGACAACGACGACACCGACGACGACGACGACGTCAACGACGCCGACGACGACGACGACGGCGACGACGACGACACCGACGACGTCTCCGACAACTTGGACGACGACAACGACGCCGACGCCGGCGACGCCGACGACGACGACGTCGCCAACGAAGACGACGACAAGGGAGGAGGAAGGACGACGACGGCGACAACGACGACAACGACGACAACGACGAGGGAGGAGGGAGGACGGCGACGACGCGAACGACGAAGAAGGAAGGACGGCGGCGCCGACGACGACAACGACGAGGGAGGAGGGAAGACGACGACGACAACGGCGACGACGACGACGGCGACGAAATAGGAGGGACAACGACGAGACGCCGACCACAGACGACGACGACGACGACGAGGGAGGAGGAGGAAGGACGACCACGGCAACAACGACGACGGAAACGACCACGACGCCAAAGAGGACGAAGACGACGAACACGAGGAAAGACAGAGGACGACGTAGGCGACGACGACGACGACGCGGGAGGAGGGAGGACGGCGACGACGACGACGACGCAAAAGCGCGCGCGCACGCTTTTGTTGAAAATCCGTGTTGCGAAACCTTGTGTTTTTTTGTTTGATATTTTTTGTGGACGCGCGATTTTGGCATCCTTCCGAAACCGATGGGTTTTGAAGGTTTTCGGCGTGCGCGCGCGACGAGGCGCGCGTCTGCACTTCGTCCCATTTTTTGCAAAGGATTCTCGCGACGGCACGCGCGCAAGGGCGTTCGACAAATTTCGACATGCGCGCGCGAAGCCTGTTTAAGAGCATTCTGTGGAAATCTGGAAAAAAAGACATATGACTTTCCCAAGATTTCGCAAGAGCTCGCGCGGAAGTTTTTTTAGCAACTCAGTGTTGCGAAGCCATGTGTTTTTGCATGTTTTTGGAAACTCGATTGCGAAATCCTCCCGGCACCGAAGGTTTTTGAAGGATTGCGGCATGCGCGCGCGACGACGCGCGCGAGTGCACTTCGTCCCATTTGTTGCAAAGGATTCGTGAAAAAGTGTTGTGTTAAAACAAAAATGTCACCGCATTTTTTTTACAAGGGACCCCCAGGGGGGGGATACTGGTTGGCCTGGGACATTGTGATTTCATATTTAGGATGGACATGTGGTCATAATCGTATAGAATTTACATACCCGAAAAGGGGGGCGATAACGCCGGGGGGGGGTATATCCTATTCTGTTTTTAGAAAGGAGAATGCACGCGGTGCAACCTGTGTAATGCAATCGGTGCGGTGCATTATATGTGGTGCGCTCTATGTGGTGCGATTGACTACCCTGCACCGCGCTTGACCACCACCACTGCTCGCGCAAACATCCCACCCACCCACCCGCAACTTGGTTTGCAAAACCCATGCGGTGGCGATTTCGATGCATGCTTGGCGTCGGCTGGTGCATCCCTGCGGCCGTGCCGACCCCAGCACGTGCACGCAGCGTCCAGCTAGTTTGGCGCCACCGGCGCGGCCGCGGTGGCGCTGACCGTTGGGCGCATCCCAGCGGGCACTTCACTGTGAGTCGGCGGCTTGGGCGGGCGCGGTATCATGGCAACGCCGGCTACGGTAGACGCGATGATGATAGTGTCGATGCTGGTGACGATGTTCGCACCGACGAAGGCGCGGCCAGTGCGGGCGCCGATGCTGATCACGCCGACGACGATGACGGAGTCCTCGCGTCGGTGATGGAGGTTCTGGGAAGAGTTCGGCGTGCGCGCGCGGCCGACGCGCGAGAGTGGCCCGCATGGCTTTACTTGACACGGACCGCGTCCCCCCAGCACGCGCGCGAGGGCGTGCGAACGTTGTCGGCACGCGGCGCCAGAGGCCCTTGTAGTAGAATTCCATGAAGATGTTGACAAACTTTGTGCTTTTCAAGAATTCGCAACAGCGCGCGCAAATTTTGCTTTGGAAGCTGTTGTGGCGAAACCTTGTGTTTTCGAATGTGTTTGAACATTCGGTTTTGCAGTCGTTACGGAACCGAAGGCTTCTGAATAATTTCGGCATGCGCACGCGACGGCGCGCACGCACGCGTGCACTTCGCCTGATTTTTGTTCAGCAGGGTTCTCGCGACGGCACGCGCGCAAAGGCATACAAACGATTTCGGCATGCGCGCGCGAAACCCGGTTGGCATTTCTTGTCAATGTTGCAAAACCTAGAATTCGCAAGAGCGCGCGCGCACGCTTGATTTGAACAACCGCGTTGCGAAACCTCATGTTTTTATTTGTGTGTTTGGACACTCGATTTTGAAACCCTTCCGAAACCAAAGGTTTTTGAAGGATTTCGGCGGCATGCGCGCGCGACGACGAGCGCGTGTGCACTTCGTCCTGTTGTTTGTCGTTTTTTTGCGGCAAGGGATGTTTGAACATAGATGAGTTGTCATAAACGAGTGCGCGTGCATAGTAGCTTTTGCAGAGGATGGCGGCTTGGCTGGGGTGGTACGAGTTCATATTTCGGATGGACGATGGGGCAGAATCGTATGCACACTGCAATACGAACAAGGGGGGGCGATAGACGCGGGGGGGGTCCTAATTTGTTTATAAAGGGGGACCGACGTGGTGTAAGCTATGTGGTGCAATTCGCTCGCCGAGCTTCGAGTTGTCAACCCCACTGGTCGCGCAATCATCCCGCCCACCCGCCCGCAACTTGGTTTGCAAAACCCATGCGGAAGCGATTGCGATGAGTGCTGGGTGTTGGCTGGTGCATCTCTGCGGCCGCGCTAGCCCGCGCATGCTCGCGCACGGGTAGACTTTTCATGTGTTGGCAGTTTTGTTCGAGGGTCTATGGTACGATTCGTGTGATTGCATGAAGCTCGGCCTTGCACTTGTTGAAACCACATTGTGTTTGGACGGATTCGACCTGTTCGCGCGGCGGCCGCGCGCATGCGCCCCTGCATGGTCTGTTTTACACGGGAATGTGTCCCTGGCAGGCGCGCGACCGTTGTTGAATGATATCGACGTGCGCTCAAACGTTGCTCAAGAAACCCTTTTTTGACAGGAGTGTTGAACCGCCATTGGGATTTGAAGGATTCGGCACGAGCGCGCGGTCAGATTTTCAACATTTTTGCGTGAGAACGTCTGTTTTCCCCAGCCCTTCTGTGTTGGGTTCCCGTTTTGCATAGATCACTGTGGTCTCCACCCTCCTTTTCCCGCCTCCTCGCTCCTGTCTTCTGTGCTCTCCTGCCGTCTGGTTCCTGATTCCTGCCTCGCCGTCTTGTCTGTTGGGTGGCCTTGCATAAGGGTTGCGATCACTGGGGGCGTGCGATCTGCGCAACTGTCGCCACGTTCGTGGGCTCCTGGGAGGCCCAGCGGAGGCACGTCCCACGCGGACCACCTCGGTACCTCGCCGCCCCCTGGGGTGCTTGCGATCTGCGCAGCTGTCGCCACTTTCGTGGGCTCCTGGGAGGCCCAGCGGAGGCACGTCCCACGCGGACCACCTCGGTACTTCGCCGCCCCCTGGGGGGCTTGCGATTTGCGCAGCTGTCGTCAAGTTCGTGGGCTCCTGGGAGGCCCAGCGGGGGCGCGCCCCACGCGGACCACCTCGGTACCTCGCCGCCCCCTGGGGTGCTTGTGATCTGCCGAATTGTCGCCACTTTCGTGGGCTCCTGGGAGGCCCAGCGGAGGCACGTCCCACGCGGACCACCTCGGTACTTCGCCGCCCCCGCGGGGGCTTGCGATCCGCGCAGTTGTCGCCACTTTCGTTGGCTCCTGGGAGGCCCAGCGGAGGCACGCCCCACGCGGACCACCTCGGTACCTGGCCGCTCCCTGGGGGGCTTGCGATTTGCGCAGCTGTCGCCACTTTCGTGGGCTCCTGGGAGGCCCAGCGGAGGCACGTCCCACGCGGACCACCTCGGTACTTCGCCGCCCCCGCGGGGGCTTGCGATCTGCGCAGCTGTCGCCATTTTCGTGGGCTCCTGGGAGGCCCAGCGGAGGCACGTCATACGCGGAGCTGTCGCCACGCGGACCACCTCGGTACCTCGCTGCCCCCTGGGGTGCTTGCGATCTGCGCAGCTGTCGCCATTTTCGTGGGCTCCTGGGAGGCCCAGCGGAGGCACGTCCCACGCGGACCACCTCGGTACTTCGCCGCCCCCGCGGGTGCTTGCGATCTGCGCAGCTGTCGCCACTTTCGTGGCCTCCTGGGAGGCCCAGCGGGGGCACGTCCCACGCGGACCACCTCGGTACTTCGCCGCCCCCTGGGGGGGTTGCGATCTGCGTAACTGTCGTCAAGTTCGTGGGCTCCTGGGAGGCCCAGCGGGGGTGCGCCCCACGCGGACCACCTCGGTACCTCGCCGCCCCCTGGGGTGCTTGTGATCTGCCGAATTGTCGCCCTTTTCGTGGGCTCCTGGGAGGCCCAGCGGAGGCACGTCCCACGCGGACCACCTCGGTACCTCGCCGCCCCCTAGAGGGCTTGCGATCCGCGCAGTTGTCGCCACTTTCGTTGGCTCCTGGGAGGCCCAGCGGAGGCACGCCCCACGCGGACCACCTCGGTACCTCGCCGCTCCCTGGGGGGCTTGCGATCTGCGCAGCTGTCGCCACTTTCGTGGGCTCCTGGGAGGCCCAGCGGAGGCACGTCCCACGCGGACCACCTTGGTACTTCGCCGCCCCCGCGGGGGCTTGCGATCTGCGCAGCTGTCGCCATTTTCGTGGGCTCCTGGGAGGCCCAGCGGAGGCACGTCATACGCGGAGCTGTCGCCACGCGGACCACCTCGGTACCTCGCTGCGCTCCGCTGGGGGGCTCTCCCACGCGGACCACCTCGCGCTCCCTGGGGGGCTTTGCGATCTGCGCAGCTGTCGCCACTTCCGTGGCCTCCTGGGAGTCCCATTGGAGGCACGTCCCACGCGGACCACCTCGGTACTTCGCCGCCCCCTGGGGGGTTTGCGATCTGCGTAACTGTCGTCAAGTTTGTGGGCTCCTGGGAGGCCCAGCGGGGGCGCGCCCCACGCGGACCACCTCGGTACCTCGCCGCTCCCTGGGGTGCTTGCGATCTGCGCAGCTGTCGCCATTTTCGTGGGCTCCTGGGAGGCCCAGCGGAGGCACGTCCCACGCGGACCACCTCGGTACTTCGCCGCCCCCGCGGGGGCTTGCGATCTGCGCAGCTGTCGCCACTTTCGTGGGCTCCTGGGAGGCCCAGCGGAGGCACGTCCCACGCGGACCACCTCGGTACCTCGCCGCTCCCTGGGGGGCTTTGCGATCTGCGCAGCTGTCGCCATTTTCGTGGGCTCCTGGGAGGCCCAGCGGAGGCACGTCCCACGCGGACCACCTCGGTAACTCCCCGCCCCCTGGGGAGCTTGCGATCTGCGCGGTTGTCGCCACTTTCGTGGGCTCCTGGGAGGCCCAGCGGAGGTACGTCATACGCGGACCACCTCGGACCACCTCGGTACCTCGCCGCTCCCTGGGGGGCTTGCGATCTGCGCAATTGTCGCCACTTTCGTGGGCTCCTGGGAGGCCCAGCGGAGGCACGTCCCACGCGGACCACCTCGGTACCTCGCTGCCCCTGGGGGGCTTGCGATCTGCGCAGCTGTCGCCACTTTCGTGGGCTCCTGGGAGGCCCAGCGGAGGCACGTCCCACGCGGACCACCTCGGTACTTCGCCGCCCCCTGGGGGGCTTTCGATCTGCGCAGCTGTCGCCATTTTCGTGGGCTCCTGGGAGGCCCAGCGCAGGTACGTCATACGCAGACCACCTCGGTACCTCGCCGCCCCCCGGGAAGCTTGCGATCTGCGCAGCTGTTGCCACTTCAGAGGGCTCCTGGGAGGCCCAGCGGAGGCACGTCCCACGCGGACCACCTCGGTACCTCGCCGCCCTCTGGGGGTCTTGCGATCTGCGCAACCGTCGCCACTTTCGTGGGCTCCTGGGAGGCCCAGCGGAGGTACGTTTCTTTCAACTCCCCTGTGCTTCCATTTTGAGTATTTGCCGTTTCTCTTCTTGCTGCGCTCTTCTGAAATCACTGCTGGGTGCTCTTCTTGCGCACTGCGGCTCCTTCAGAATGCCAGTTAGCACTGAGTGGTCCTGAGTAGAATCGCCACATGAACAGAAGGGGTTGGGTACGTCGCGGGGAATTGTTCCATAGTTTTTTTAAAGCGGGATGCTGAAATGGTTGAAACCACAGTGTGTTTGTAAGGACTTCGACACGCGCGCGCGCAGCGGCCGCGCGCGTGTGCCCCGCATGGTATGTTTTACAAGTGATTCGCGACACAAGTATTATGTTAGAGCAACAAATGCTACCGTATAGTATTTTTTGCTTGGGAACCGACGGGGGACCGATACTGGCTTGGCTGGGATAGTATGAATGCACAGAAAGGATGGACATTGGGTCCAGCTCATATGTGTTTTGCATCGTTTCCCAGGGAGTCGATAAGTCCGAGGGGGGGGGAGGGTGCTAGAACTTATTTCCTTTCAGAAGGAGAACCTGTGTGGTGAAAGCCATGTGGTGCAGTCCGTGTGGGCGGCGACGAGGCAGCGACGGGGCGGCGACGGCGGCGACGGGGCGGCACCGCCCGGAAAAGCCGGGACTGGCCCCCAGATGGTTCAGACCCCTTGAGTGCAAGCACTGCCTGGGGAAAACCGGCGCATGCGCACAGCCGGGACTGGCCGGGAGAAGCCGGGACTGGCCGCCAGATGGTTAAGACCCTTTAGGTGCAAGCACTGCCTGGGGAAAAAACCGGCGCATGCGCATAGCTGGCGCCCTCCTGCAGGAGCCGCGGGAGGGCGCTGCCGGGCCCGCGGGCCCGGCGAGGCCCTCCGGGGGCCCGCCGGGCAGGCGGAGGGCCAAGCCGGTGCTGATCACGGCCTGCGGCGTCGTGCCTTGCCCAGTGCCGCGGGAGGTGCAGAGGGTGCGCCTCCACAGGGATCCTCAGAAGCAGGAGGTGGAAGTCAGGATCGGGCCTGGCGAAAGGGGGGGATTGGGAAAGGGGGGGTACGAAATTTGCTGCATGCAGCTGGTTTCGGCCCACCGAGGGGCCCATTCCTCGATACATAGCCGCCTCCGGCGCCGGGAGGCGCCGGGAAAATCAGCTACGTGAGCTGATTCTCACCCCCCCCCTTTGCTATCCCCCCCTTTCGCCCGACCCGACAGGAGCAGGTGGCCGTTCAGCTATGCGAGCCAGGGGGACGATGCCTACAGGGTCCACGTGAAGCAGGTCATGCTGGTGGCGTCGCTCCGCATGCAGTGTGCGGACCTGAACGTGCTCTCCACAGACCCGGTCACTGGCCTGCAGATGAAGCCTGAGGACGTGGCACACAAGTCTGAGGAGCTAGGAAAGAAGGAAGAAGCGATGGTTCAGGGAGTATCCCTCGTGCCCATGAAGGATTTGCGAGGTCGCGTCGGACTGGGCACGGCAGTCCAGAAGACATTGCAACCGCTGGGGCATCATGAGAAGTTCCTCTGCGAAAAGGTGAGCAAGAACATGCATATTACCAAAACCCGTTACTTCAACATCAGCGGTGGGCGAATGCGGCTGTACAGCTACAACTTGAGGCTTGCCAAAGCCAGGACGGTGTTCGAACTCAAGGACGTTCAGAAGTGCGTCGTGGAGTGGGTGGACCAGCAGAAAAACAATGCAAGACCACCAGGCCTGAAGGACCTGCATCCGTTCCACAAGGGCTTCCAGGTTCGTGTCCGAGTCGAGCTGAGGGAGCGGCCCCACGGGCCTCTGTACCTGTACGCGGCAAACTCTGCCAGGGCGCTGAGTTGGCAAAGGGTCATACTCCTGGCAAAGTATCGGGGCGCCTGCGGCACATGCCGCCACCGTGCCAGCGCAGCAATCCGTGTGGTGGCCACGCGTCGGAGGCCGCGGCATGCGGCACCTCTCGTGTCCGTTCCTGGAGGGGCTCTCCCGGGGGCTTAGCCTGGGTTGTCTGGGGCCGCCTTCGGCTCCTGCGGGGCCGTGTGTTGGGCCCTCTTGGGTTTCTCCTGGGCCGTCTTGGGTCCCTCTTGCGCCGGCTTGGTTCGCAGTTGGGCCGTCTTGGGACGCGCGCGGCCGTCTGGGGGATCTCTTGGGGCTGTCTTGGGGGCTTCCTGGGGTTCTCGTTGGCCATCTTGGGGCTCTTCTGAGCCGTCTGGGCGACCTGTTGCGACCCTCGGCTGGCCTGTTTGACATCTCTGTGGTTCCTCCTGGGATTCATTTTCTGTCACCAGGGAAGCTCAGTATGCACAAGCATCCGATGGAGTCCTCCTGTTGTTCCATGATCTTGGCCTTCGGGAGGGCCTGTCTGCCTTCTGTTGGGAGTCGTGGGAGCCTCAGGGCTCCATTCGGCGACGCTTGGGTTATGATGCTCCAACCTACTTTAGCCTTGATCACCAACAAGAATTTCGAGCGCCAAACAAAGTACCGAAACTCAAGGGTTTTCTCGTGTCGTGCCCTGGGAGACACTCGCCCGATACTGTTTCGACACTGTTTCGACACTGTCTTGACACTTTTCCGGGTGCTCGAAGTTATTTCTGAGATGCGGTCCTTAAATAGGATGGGAACAACATGACCTTTCGGCCGTCTTTCTCTTTTCGGGCCTCCTGGGCGGCCCTTGTCGCCACCGCTGGATTCGCCCCGAAATGCTGGTCAGAACGCACCCCTTCGGCGACTTGGGCGCCTCTTGGAGCAACGTCTTGGGCCATCCTGTCTGCCACGGTGGGCTTCCCAGGCCGTCTGGGAAGCTTGGGGCAGGTCTGGAGAGCCCGTGGGAGGTGCGGGGGGCCGCCCGGGGAGTCTCGAGAGGGGGGGGCGGGGGGGCACCTGCGCATGCGGAGAAGCGTGGCCCGGGCCGGACGAAAGGGTGGGGATTAGGAAAGGGGGGGTTACGAAATCTGCTGCGTGCAGCTGGTTTCGGCCCCACCGAGGGGCCCATTCCTCGATACATGGCCGCCTCCGGCGCCGGGAGGCGCCGGGAAAATCACCTACGTGAGCTGATTCTCAAACGCCCCCTTTGCTATCCCCCCTTTCGCCCGACCCGAGTGGCGCGGGGGGGGATAGGCCCGTACAGCCAACACGCTGAAATAAGGAACAGTTTGGGCTCGGAAGGGGCTCGATGTTCCTTGGATCCTGCCTTGGCTGCTCCTGTAGCCCTCCTCGTACACCCAGGCTCTCCTGGTGCCCACAAGGGGCTCCGTTCCTGATTTAGCATTCCTTCTTTCAGCAGCACGACTGCCTAAGACCTACAGAAGCCCTACTAATAAGCACTTGGCATGTCTAGCGCGCTTCAACGCGCCAGTGGTAGGGTGGCGGATTTGATTCTGCCGGAGATTGCGACGGCGCTCCGGTCAGTTGTGGGGAAAGCTGCAGGATCGATGCTGGCAAAGGGGTGGTCCGCGATGGTGTGCTACGCTCGCTGGGCGAGGCAGGTCAAGGCATCAGTCCACCGCGTAAGCAGGAAGCTCGTGCTAGGCAATCTGAGTCGCGGCTTCACTAAACTTCTGCTCGTGCGCCGACAGCGGGCCAACCAAGAGCTAGAGAAGGCAAAGGCCCAGGAACATGCCGTGCAATTCCTGCACCAGGTGTTGAAGGGCTCGCAGGGCAAGTCTGGGCGTGCGCGCCCAGCAAAGTCCATCCGCCACGAGATGATATCGCGGGTGCAGCATGGATTCCGCGAGTTTCGGGAACGCCGCATCCTGGAACGGAGGTATCCGCTGAGCACCTCGGGGAACTCCCGCCTGAGCCAGCTCGTCAGTGGCTCCACCATCCCGTGCGCTTTCGTCTCCTTGAGCAGCGCGGCCGCGCTGGGCGCCGTGCTCGGGCCCTGGACCTGGAGGAAGCTCGGCCTGGAGGAGGCCGCGGCGCAGGCCGCCACGCCCGCGGCGAGGTCGGCGTACTCGGCCGTGAACGTTCCGCTGAGCGAGCTGGCCGTTCGCATCTCCGCCAACTTCTCCACCCTCTCCTTCCAGCACGTCGACTCGCGGGCCTCGCACGCGCAGCTGAAGGGCGAGACCGGCTGGGCCAACTTCGTACAGCTTGACCAGGTCAGCTCGGTGGTCCTGCGCTCGGAGCGGGTGATGAGTTACGCCAGCCCCGGCAGCAGGCATCGGAGGGGGTCGGTGTCATTCAGAGGAGGAATCGGTTAGCCAGCGTGTGCCTAGGCAGTGTGTGTGTTCTAGCAATCTGTGTTGCTGAGCACTATGTGGTACGATTCACTTCGGCTGTCTTGAAGCTGTCCTCTCCACTGCTTGTGCAAACATCCCACCCTCCCACCCGCAACTTGGTCGCAAGACCTTTTGCGACCGTGACGGTAGGTACCAAATGGCACTTGGCAACGACACCAACGCCGACGACGACAGCGACAACGACGACGACGACGACTACGACGACACCGACGACGTCTCCGACGACTTCGACGACGACGACAACGACGACGATGCCGACGCCGACGCCGACGACGACGCCGACGACGACGACGATCACGACGCCGACGACGACGCCGAAGACGACGACGACGACGACGAAGACGACGACGAGGGAGGAGGGAGGACGACGACGGCGACAACGACGACAAGACGATGGAGGAGGGAGGACGGCAACGACGCGAACGACGAAGAAGCAGGGAGGACGGCGACGCCGACGATTTCAACGACGAGGGAGGATGGAAGACGACGACGACGACGACGGCGACGAAATAGGAGGGACGACGACGAGACGCCGACGACGGACGACGACGACGAGGGAGGAGGGAAGGACGACCATGGCGACAACGACGACGGAAACGACGACGACGCCAAAGAGGACGACGACGACGAGGAAAGACAGAGGACGACGACGGCGACGATGACGACGACGAGGGAGGAGGGAGGACGGCGACGACGACGACGACGACGCAAGAGCGCGCGCGCACGCTTTTGTTGAACATCCGTGTTGCGAAACCCTCTGTTTTTGTATGTTTTGGACACTCGATTTTGAAATCCTTCCAAAACCGAAGGTTGTTGAAGGATTTGGGCATGTGCGCGCGACAACGCGCGCGCGTGCACTTCGTCTTATTTCTCTCCAGAAGGTTCTCGTGACGGCAAGCGCGCAAGGGGTTTCGAACAATTTCGACATGCGCGCGCGACGCCCGTTTGGTAGTGTGTGTGTGCGTGTGTTTGAAAATCTTGAAAACCAATTGTTTTCTTAAGATTTCGCAAGAGCGCGCGCGTGAGCTTTTTTAGAACATCAGTGTTGCGAGACCATGTGTTTTGTATGTTTGTTCTTTGGGGACTCGACTTTGAAACCCTTCTGAAACCTATGGTTTTGAATGATTTCGGCATGCGCGCGCGACGACGCGCGCGTGTGCGCTTCGCTTCCCTTTTTGCAAGGGATCTTTGAACACTGATGGTTTTTGATAAACGAGTGTGCGCACATCGTATTGTTTGCAGAGGATGGCGGGGAGGGGCGGAACCGCCCCCCTATGATTGCGCAGGTCCATATTTAGGAATGGCGTGGCCGGGGTGTCTTTAAGTCTGAGGGGGGGAGTCTGAGGGGGGGGGGGCGGAGGGTGGTAGAACCTATTCTCTTTCTCGAAAGGAGAATTTGTGTTTACCCATGAGTTGACACATCCCTTTCTCTTGCAAGCATCCCGCCCACCCACCCGCAATTTGGTTTGCGAAACCCATGCGGTGGCGGTTGCGATGCATGATTGGCGCTGGGCGGCTGCGCCAACCCTAGCACGCGCGCGCATCGGCCAGCTAGTTTGGCGCCACCGAAGCGGCCGCGGAGGCGCTGACTGCTGGGCGCATCCCATCGGGCACATCACTACGATTCAGCGACTTGGGCGGGCGCGGTATCATGGCAACGCCGACTACGGTAGACGCGATGGTGATATCGGCGATGCTGGTGACGATGTCCGCATCGACGAAGGCGCGGCCAGTGCGGGCGCCGATGCTGATCACGCCGACGACGATGACGGCGTTCTCGCGTCGGTGATGAAGATGTTGGAAAGAGTTCGACATGCGCGCGCGGCCGACGCGCGAAAGTGGCCCACATGGTTTTATTGGACACGGATTGTGCCCCCCCCGTCGCGCGCGTAAGGGCGTACGAATGGTGTCGGCATGCGGCGCCAAAGGCCCGCTGGGCAAAATTCCATGGAAATGTTGAGCAGCCTGGTTTTTTTTGTTGGAAAAATAACAAAAAAAGACTTTTCACAAGGGCGTGCGCACAATTGTTGTTGAAAATTTATGTGCCGAAACTTTTTTATGTAAAAAGTGTTTTTTTCGACATTCGGTTTTGAAATCGTTACGACACCGGACATTTTGAATGATTTCGGCATGCGCGCGCGCGACGACGCGCGCGCGTGCACTTCGTTTCATGGTTTGCAATATGATCCTCGCGACGGCACCCGCGCAAAGGCGTTCGAATGATTTCGCCATGCGCGCGCGCGAAGCCTTTGTTGTAGGTTTCTTTCAACATTGAGGGAGCGCGTGCGCACGTTTTTTTTTGTTATGTTTTTTTTTGTATTTTAGGGGGGGGAATCGTGTTGCGAAACCATGTGTCTTTGTATGTTTTTTGTTGCAAGCTCGATTTTGAAATCCTTCCGAAATCGAGGGGTTTTGAATGATTTCGGCATGCGCGCGCGACGACGCGCGCGCATACACTTCGTCCGGTGTTTTGCAGAAAAGGGTTTTTGACACCGGGTGATTTTTGATGAGCGAATGTGCGTGCATAGCTTTTGTTGCAGAGGATGGCGGGGGTGGGTCGATACCGGCCTTGCTGGGATGGTACGACTTCGTAGCTCGAATGGGCGATGGGGCAAAATCATATGTAACAATTGCAACACGAAAGTGTGGATCGATAAAGCCGGGGGTGGTGGTGGTGGTGGTGGAAAGTGGAGTCTCTGTGGTGCAATCTATGTTGTACAACCTATGTGGAACAATGTTTGTGGTGCATTACACGTTGTGCAATGTGCAATTTGTCTTGTGCCATATATGTTGTGCAACATACGCGGTTGGAACTTATGTGGTGGAATTTATGTGAGGCAATATATGGCATGTAAAAGATGTGGTGCATTACATGTTGTGCAATGCATGTGAGCAACATATGTGGTTCAATGTAGGTTTTGCCATATATGTTGTGCAATCTATGTTGTACAATGTGTTTATATATTCATGGGTACCTAAGTCATGTGTACTAGTCTTTGGCTTACGCCGCACCGCCGACCCCTTGGGACAGAGTCGCTGTTGCGGCTTGTGGGTGTTGCGCGACTTATGCTTGTATTTAGATCTAGCGGCCTTCGGTCCATCTCGCCACCATGCCTGGAGTGTGGTTCAGAGGCCTCTTGGATGTTCGTTGGGCTCTCGTGAGGAGCCTCTCGGGGGCCTGCCCAAGGCAGCTTGGAGGCCTCTGAGAGGCGGTTTGGGGCCTCTTGGGTCCTCTTTTGGGCCTCTTGGGGGTCTCATGGGGGCCTCTTCGGGCCCCTTGGGGGCCTCTTGGGGTCTCCCGGGGCCTGTTGGGGTGGAAAGCTAGAATTTTCGGTTCGTGGTCCCCTTCTTGGGCTGTCTTGCGGCCCTTTGGGGCCGTCTTGAGGCCCTCGTGGGGCGTCTTGGGGCCTTCTTGGTGGCCTCTTGGGCCGTCTTGTGGCGGTCGTGGGGGCCTCTTGGGCCGTCTTCGAGCGTCGGAAGCCGGAAAATGTGTGCAAGGAAACAATGTCAATCACCGATTTGGTCCTCTTGGGGCACTCTTGGGAGGCCTCTTCGAAGCCTCTTTGAGCGTCTTGGAGGCATCTTCGGCCGTCTGGAGGCCATCTTGGGCGTCTTGGGACAATGTTTCGGCGAGTCGGGGCCCTTCTGGACCGTCTGTGAGGTCTCTTGGGGCCCTCGTGGCCCGTTTTGAGGCCTTCGATACCCTCCTGGCAGAATTTCTAAAGCAAAGTACCCTCCCCGGCCGGCCCGGATAGACCCCCCCTCCAAATCGACGGGATCCGGCTCCCAGGGGAGGTGTCTGGGGAGGGGGAAGCGTCCCACACGCCGATGGACCCCCCAAGGGGTCGGCGGATGTGTTGTGAATTCTACGCTGTGCACTCCTTTGTTGTGCAATTAATGTCGTTCATTCTGGGAGGTGCCATCAATAATTACTATGCAATCTATGTGGAGCATGTCATGTTGATCAGCCTGTGTGGTGCAATCGATGTGGGGCAATATATGTGGTATACTTCGTTGTGCAACCCATGTTGTGCAATCCACGTGGTGCAACCGATCAGCGTGGTGCAATCTGTGTCGGTGCAACCTATGTGGAACGCACTCTGTGCTCTGCAGTCTGTGTGGAGCAGCATGCGAGGTGCAGCACAGGCTGTGCGATTCGTCTTGCGCACCCCACGCTGTGCAGTCTGCACTGTGCAGGCGACGTGGTGCACCCCATGCGTTTCAACCGATGTGGTGCAGTCCTTGCTGCGGCGTCGAGGCGCCGACGGGGCGCCGACGGGGCGGCGCCGGCACGGTGGCGGACCCGGCACCGGAGCCCAGCCGACGGCCGGCGACGGGCCCGCGACGGGGCGGCGACGGGGCGGCGGCGGCGACGACAAGGCGACAGACTCGTCACAGGAGCCAAGACGACGGGCGGCGACGAAGCGGCGACGGGGCGGCGACGGCGACAGCAAGTCGGCGGGCCCGGCGCCGCTGTCTGTCCCGGAGAGTCCTCGAGATCCTTTGCGGAACGCAGCCTGGGAGAGTTCCAGGGAGTAGCGGCATGGGTACGTCTTGGTTCCTCCAAGAATGCGCCACGTCGTTTGGCCGGTCAAGGAGTCCTGGATCTCGGCGAAGGAAATCCGTGCACAGGCGCTCCAACATCCCGTAGCTCGGAAAACTGGGGCATGCATACACCGAGTTCCCTGGCGGACCAGACGACCTGGTGTACGGTAGCCTCGTGTCCTGTCAAGGCGGCCGCGCGGGCGTTCCAGGTTAAGCGACGCCGGCAGCCCAGAGCTGGTCAGCAAGGAACGATCTGACGATCGAGAATAGGGGAACAGAAAGTGGCATAAACATAAAAACTCGGAGGTCCGCGCGGATTTCTCGGATCCGCGCTGGACCCCCCTCCCTGGCGCGCGGAGCGCGCCAGGGGCGGCGCCGGAAGCGCCGCCGGGGAGCCCCAGCGCGGATCCGAGAAATTCGCGCGGACCTCCGAGTTTTTATGCTTATGTCACTTTTTGTTCCCCTAGAGAAGCCGAGCCGCCGCTTCTTGAATGTTGAACAGTCCGCGCGGTGTCAGAAGCCGAAGCCCTGGTCGTCACGACACGAACCTGCCGTGCATCTCGTTTTCAAGGAGACATACTTTTTTTGTGTGCGCCGGTGCCGCAAGGGCGACGCGCGCGCTCAGAAGTCTTGCAGCACAGGCTCCGTGGCGGGCGCTCTCTGCCCACACCGCTCGGCACGTGATCTGCTACAGTCAACGCGCATAGTAAGGACAAACGATTTTTTCAAGGGTACCCTTGGGTCCTTGCCTGCCTCGCAATTTTCTAGCAATTTTAGCAGGCCAGTTTCTCAGGTTCCCTGGGGGTTTGGCCGCCTGCCGCCCAGAATACTTCAACTTCGGCCTCCAAGGGTCTTGCGTCCTTACCACGCGTCCTTACTATACGTTTTCACTGTAGAAGAGTTGCGCACTATCTGTCCGTGTCGGACGTGCGCCTCCAACATCAGTAGATCGCACTAGTACCCATCGGTCTGCTTTTGGCGCCTTTCCACTTCAATGATCGAGCGGCTTCTCCGCGTCACCCCCGCCGACAGCCGCGCATCGACCCCCGTCGCGGGCAGCCACCGCGCGCCGAAGGCGCTCCGACCCCCGTCGCGGCGCTCCGACACCCGTCGGGGGGGCCACCCCCCCATGCTTATTAGGAAACCCATAGCTTATGATTGAATCGCTTCGCTCATTCCGCCGGCGCATATTGCATTACTGGTGCTACATGTCTGTGTGATCGTGGCAAGCGAGAAGGAGGAGGGGGGGGGAGGAGGAGGAGGACGAGGACGAGGATGAGGAGGAGGATGAGGAGGAGGAGGAGGAGGAGCGAGGAGGAGGAGGAGGAGGATGATGATGATGACGAGGAGGAGGAGGAGGCGGAGGGGGAGGGGGAGGAGGGGGAGGAGGAGAGGCCGGGGGATTGTGGAGCCCCTCGTCGTTTTCATACGGTTTTTATCGAGTGAAACGCTCTTTCACCCTTGAACTTTGATTGTTTTTTTGTAATTTTTCTTCTCGCCGTGATCCCCACATACTAATATTTTCTCGTTATATCGTTCTCTAGTGTTCTCTCTCTCTCTCTCTCTGTCTCTTTCTCTCTCTCTCTCTATCTTTGTCTATCTCCTGCACCAGGCCAATGCATGCCGATGCGATACAAATCCATTCCCAACCAACACCAATGCCAATGCAATGCCAATGGGGGAATCTTTTCGTTCGGTAGATTTCAATAAGAGTATTTTGTGGATGATGTCATTACGAATCCTTCTTCGGAGGATTTCAATAGCAATGCTTATGTGTAGGGTTTCGATCGGGATCCTCATGTGGAGGGTTTCACTAGGAATCCTTCATGTGGGAGGATGATATCGGAATCGCTCTTGTGGAGGGTTTCAGTAGGAGTCCGTCTGCGGAGGGAGCCATTCGGACTCGCCAGCGCAATGCCAACGCAATGCCAAAGCTTTGCCATCGCAATGCCCCATCAATGCCAAGGCGATCCCATTTCACTGCCACTGCAATGCCAATGGGGGGTATCCTTTGCGGTAGATTCCAAACAGAATCCTTTCTGTGGAGGGTTTCGATTGGAATCCTTCCGTGGGGGGTTTTAGTATGAATCTTTTATGTGGGGGGCTTTCGAAAGGATCCCTTCTTGTGGAAGGTGAGGAATCCTCTTGTGGTGGGGGCCATCCGAACTCGCCAGCGCAATGCCGAAGCAGTGCCAACGCAATGCCAAGCCAATGCCAATGCAATGCCAATGGGGGGAATTGCTTGTGGCAGATTTCAATAGCAATCCTTCTAAGAACCCTTCTTCGGGGGATTTCAATAGGAAGCCTTCTATGGAGGGCTTCGCATGGAACCCTTCGGTTGAGGATTTCAATTTGAATTCTTCTTGTGGGGGGATTTAATCGGCATCCTTTTTGTGGGGCAGAATCCTTCTGTGAAGTGTTTGAGTAGGACTCGCCAGCGCCATGCCAACGCAATGCCAACGCACTGCTAACGCACTGCCATCGCAATGCCAACGCAATGCCCATGCGATGCCAAGCCGTTGCCAAACCAATGCCAATGCAATGCCGATGGCGGGATTCCTGTCTTCCAACAGATTTCACTAGGAATCCGTATGTGGATGATTTGGTTACGAATCCTTCCTCGGAGGATTCCGATCGGGATCCTCCCGTGGAGGGTTTCGATTGGAATCTTTCTGTGGGGGGAGGGTCATGTGGGGTCTTTCAAAAGGATCCCTTCTTGTGCAAGGTTGTCATAGGAATCCTTCTGTGGGGGGAGCCAGTAGAACTAGAACTCGCCAGCGCAATGCCAACGCAATACCAACGCAGTGCTAAACTTATGCCAAAGCGATCCCAATTCAATGCCGATGCAATGCCAATGGGGAAATCGTTTGTGGTCGGGTTCAAGAAGAATCCTTCTATGGAGGGCTTCGGATGGAATCCTTCCGTGAGGGAGTTCAATGTGAACCCTTCTCGTGGGATGCTTCAACCGGAATCCTTCTTGCGGGGGTTCAACAGGAACCATTCTGCGAAGGGAGGTGTTGGAACTCGCCAGCGCAATGCCAGCGTAATGCCAACGCAGTGCCAACGCAATGCCACACCAATGCCAAAACGATCCCAACCCAATGCCAATGCACTGCCAATGGGGGAAATCCTTTGTGGTAGATTTCAATAGGAATCCTTCTGTGGAGGATTTCGCATGGAATCCTTCTGTGGAGGGTGTCAGTATGAACCGTTTTTGTGGAGGGTTTCAATAGGAGTCCTTCTCGTAGAAGGTTTCGATCGGAGTCCCTGTGTGGAGGGTTTCGTTAGGACTCGCCAGCGCAATGCTTGCGACATGCAAGCACACTAGCAACGCACTGCCAAGCGCAATGCCAACGCAATGCCAATGCGATGCCAAACCATTGCCGCACCAATGCCAATGCAACGCCAACGGGGGTTCTTTCTTTCGAAGCATCTCAATATCAATCCTTCTGCGGGTGATTTCAATAGAAATCCATCTGTAGAAAATGTCAGTAGGAATCATTGAGCGGAGGGTTTCGATAGGAATCCTTCTGTAGAGGATTTCACTATGAATCTTCCTTGTGAGGGCGTTCAATAGGAATCGTTCTAGGGGCGAGGGCAGATGAGGCCACGTCGTATTCCTTTTTTTTCGCCGCCGACCTCCCCCCCAAACAAAAAAACAAACAACAAACTAATAAAACAAACAACGTTTTTTTTTGTGTGGGGGGTGAGAGAAAACAGGAGGAGGAGGAGGAGGAGGAGGAGGAGGAGGAGGAGGAGGAGAGGGAGGTGGAAGGAGAGGAGGACGCCACAGAGTACGCACACCACTGAAAGGGCGCGCGCGCGAGGTGATTTCAATAAGAATCCATCTGTGGAGAAGTTCAGTAGGAATTTTTGAGTGGAGGGTTTCGATAGGAATCCTTCTGTAGAGGATTTCGATATGAATCCTCCTTGTGGGGGCGTTCAATAGGAATCCTCCTAGGGGAAGGGGAAGATGAGGCCATGTCGCATTCCTTTTTTGTGTTCGCCGCCGACCCTCCCCCACCCAACAAAAAGGGGGAGACTAACATAACAGACAACGTTTTTTATTTTTCTTTGGGGGGGAGGAGGGAGAGAAAACAGAGGAGGAGGAGGAAGAGGAGGGGGAGGCGGAAGGAGAGGAGGACGCCACAGAATACGTTCGCACACCACTGAAAGACGCACGCGCGAACTCAGTGTAAAAGACTCGCGCGCGCGCGCCCTGGAACCCCGAGGGGCTCCACAATCCCCCGTTCTCGAGGAGGAGGAGGAGGAGGAGGAGGAGGAGGAGGAGGAGGAGGAGGAGGAGGGGGAGGGGGCGGATGAGGAGGAGGAGGAGGAGGAGGAGGAGGAGGAGGGGGCGGAGGAGGAGGAGGAGGAGGAGGAG